TGTATGAGGGTACTACTAACATTGGAGGAATCATCCTACTTTTAGAAGGTAACATTTAGCAATTTTCCCATTTTAGTTTAACATGTAAGCATATTTGCTAATTAGCACTAAACTCAATCTGAAAGCTGATAATGAATACTATTAACTTTGCATCGATGTGCTCAAAAAGCGAGTATTGAACTGTTTTTGACCTGTAGGCAATGGCAATAAATAAAAAAGTTGACAGCCTGAAAAATGGCAGCATGAAGTTTGGCATGTTCATTCTCCTCTGGGCTACTGCCATTCAACAGCCCACACCATAGCTCAAATTTGATCATGGTTTTACTAAAGCCAGGGTCCCAACTGCAAGAAGAGTGAGAAAAGAGCTAAATTAATCTGAACATGGTACTGTAATAGGATGTCTCTATTGCAACAAGTCAATTTGCAAAATGTCCTTATTGCACAATGAGCCATAAGTGTATTGTAATTTATTATTATAGATTAGTAACTTCAGCAAAAATACTGTGCACTGAGAGCTTCATAGAATAGGTCTGAAGGACCTAGTCGTCTTGGATTGGCAATGGAAGAGTCTTTGTCCAAACCTGAGAAGGTGTGGTTATAGGTGTTTTGGGGGCACTTTAGGAGGCACACCACTCTTTGCTGCTGGAGTTCTCAAAAAGTTTAAGTGGACTTGCCAAAGCATACGTGGGGGCAGCAGTACATGGGGATCGAACGGAAAGTTGCTACTGTAAACAAATGCTAGAGCAGCAAAGCTAAATCAAGACCAGGAAAACCTGGACATCAACCATTCTGACAGCTCAACTCCAGACTCCAGAAATATTGAACAACTGCTTCAGAAAGACAGGAAAAAACAGCTTTAGCACAGAAGAAGCTAGTTGAGAGAGAGTTGGGAGTCAACTGGAACGTGGATCAACAATGAGATGAAATTTTCCATATAGGGAAATCCTTCAATCCCGCTTATGTTTAGCTCAAAAAGTACCATCTCAAATTGGGAATATTTATCTTGTTACCATTCATGATGCTCATGAAGTCAAACACTGATTTTTTTTTTCAACATTTTTCACAAATTTCCTGTTCAATAATAGCAGATTGCTGGTTCTGGGTTTACGGTTAGCGTTCATATATTCAATACACTGTGATGGTAATAAAACAATAACATAATGACAACCTACTGCAAATTTCCAAAGATTTGTGCTGTGGGCATCACAAATGTTTGTTGTTAACATCGTGGCAATCCATCTAATAGTTCTTGAGTCATTTTGCAAATAACAAAAAGTCGATGCTTTGTTTTGTCGATGTTGCGTGAGATGAAAAGTCTCCACAAATAAATAAATAAATCATGTTCTGCGGACCATGAACACATGGACTAAGTTCCACAAATTCAAAACAGTCACTGGGATTTCACAACATACATACTATACGGACGAGCCTTGGCTTCAAACGTGCTATATTTCCAAATGACGATTGCATGATGCATTTGAGTCAATTAGTTTGTGTTCAGGGCAATATAAAAGAAACTTGAGAACACTGAGCATCAGAGTGTTTCATTTGTAACACGTCATGAAGTGCTGTGAGGATATGTTTAAATAAACCATCGCTTCTATTTATTCGCTGCCCACTGAGCAGCCGGTGTTAAAAAGCTGACAACAGTGATAAAGGCATAAACGAGCGTGCGCTGCCCACTGATGCCGAGACCCAGTCTGTGCCGAGGTGAGCGCCCTGTGGTGGGGTGCTATCAAGATCAGTGGCTCACTGCGCTCATTAGGCGACTACTTGCATGTGATTTCATTCATCAGAGCAGGTCCACTTTTTTCTTTCCTGACATCAACTTGAAATAATTATGCATTGTGTCTGGCCCCGGGGTTGTGAATCTGAACGTTGAGTCAATGATCCATGCGCCATCGTAATCCATCATACAGCTGTTGGACTGCATGCGAGTATGTGTGTGTGTGTGTGTTCGGGAGCTGAACAAGGAGGAGGCAGAGATAAAGAAATAATAATTCCTCATCCTTCGTGCCACATCGTTATTTGAATGGAGAGCATCTCGCGACACAGACACGGTAACACCTGGCACAGAAAGGCTGGGCAAAGGCAGCTGCCGAGGACTTGGGTGCTGAGCGGGCACTGATCAACGTCCCCTTCCATCCTCAAATGCCTGCAGAGAAATTGTTCTGGCATTTAAGCATTTACGATAACGCCAGCAGGAAAATCCCTGGTGGCAAAATGACATTTCAAAGTGATGTAAACAGGTAAACAGCAGTATTCAGTTGTGCCAAATTAACCCCTTGGTTCACAAACAGTCAGGGTAGGGGCATGTCTGAGAGTGAGAGCCAATTCGCTGTTCTCCAAATTAGGCTAACCTCTGGGGAGGGGAGGGTCTCGCTCTCCCTCCTTCTCTCTTACACACAGAGCAATATATTACCTTTTTGGTGTGAGTGACTGACAAGTTTATTTTACCCCTTTACACTTTTCCCACATTCTCTTCATTAACCCTTCATGAGACCAAATTTGCAGCAAGCCCTTTAAAAAAATGAACACTAGCAAGGACTGTTAACAAGTTGTAACTATGGGCAAATACAAGCACAGGCAAATGTAGACAAAGCATTTCTCTCTCTGCACGTCTTGCTACATCAATAATACATGAGACCGCCTCCTTCTCTGTGATTAAAGGTGATGTATCCAAGCACCACAGGTGCTGCATCACCAAACTGTGCTTTCAAATTCTAGTTAGTAAAACATGTGTACAGTCTGAAAGGGTTTCTTCAAAGAAGCGATTATGCCTGGCAGTGAAAACATGAGAGGATGCTGTGGGAAAGTCAGCAAAATTGAAATGTGTGGGTTAGTCAGATCTTCAAAGACTGAAAATAAGCAGAAAAATAAGACTTCACGTCACCTGACCAGGGCGTTCTTCACAAAAAAAGCTTTAATTGCAACATTTCCCATGAGTTTGTAGCATGCAAATGAATGTGCATGCTGTGACTGCTGTCATCTTTAAGGAGACTGCAGCTGTCTTATTTCTACATCTTGCATTTCCTGCTCTTGCAGAGTCAGCCAGTATTGACAGAAGCCCTCGCCAGGAATCTAATGTCCCCCAGACGCTGGCCACGGCTGGGCAAAAGGCCACATCCAATCAGCACCACCACCAGACAATATCAAAGACCAGTGGGCGAAAGGAGATGGGATTGGATGGCAGTGGCATAGAAGGAGGGGGCGAAAGAAGACAGAATGAGAGGTTGAATCTCATTAGCTCGCTTTTAAAGATGAGTCACCGCACAGCAGATTACTGAACACCATCCAGGACATTGGAGTCATACAATGGGTACAAGTATCAAAATTACAGGGAAATTGAACAGAGAGATTGCGGGGGGGTCCCACGAATGATGAAAAGCAATGACCATGAGCAAACATGGTGATGGGATGAGCCGGCTCAGATGGAAGGCGAGAGCAGAAGAGGTGTCACTTTTGAGAGAGATGCATGGAGGGAGATACATGATAGCGCAGGTTGGTGTGGAGGGGGGTGGTCGGCCAGTGTGCTGGCATCATTTACCTGCATCACCACTTGCTGCCATGGTAGCGGTTGGCTGGTGGGGGGGTTGGGAGGCAGATTGGCGCGCTCTAGCTGAAGGTTGACGTTGCGACGCTCCTCCTCGAGGGCGCGGGTCAGCTGCTCGAAACGTGCCTCCTGCTCTTTCACTGAGGCCAGGATGCTGGCGGCTGAGCGAACGTCGTAATCCTCCATGTTCAGTGTCGGTCGCGGTTTTACAGATCTTCCAAGTCGAGAAGGGAGGGAAGAGAAGGGGGAGGAAGAGGGGGCACCAGGTCATTCAACACACCCAGACCCAAAAAAGGCTGGATGAGTGACATCAAATGGCGGACGCATGCCTCCAGATCAAAGTCAAAACAAACGGCTTGTTTGCTGGCCAAGATGGGACACACAAGCTTTAACAAAGACCACCGTGACAGATGAAAACAGAACATTTAGGGTGGGTGACTGGATAAGGGAAATAGGGTTATAACACAAAGAGTGTATCTGCTACCGACAAATCTTTTTCACTCTGACCGTGGTTTCTCCAGCCAACACCCTGAAGGGACATGCTCAGATTCTGCTCATAAAGGGTGACTACAAAGTCTCTGATACTGCAGGCCAGCACAGCAAACACATTAATGAGGATGCACTGCAGGGTGCCAATTATGTGTTTGCTTTCAGAAGTTCGAGCCTTTCTTATAATTAAGACAATCCTGGCACCGGAGATAACATTCACTGCAGATCTGCAAGAATATCAGGGATGAAAAATAAATACCTAATCCACCCATTCTAAAAACAACAAAGGGGATGCAACAGCACAGTGGAGACTCACAAAAGCAAAGATTTTTTTTTTGTGTTTGTTTGTTTTGTTTTCTTTTTGGATATGATCTCAGCCCTACAAATGAACAGTCGTAGGCATAAGCGTGGAGGAACGGCGCTGTCATTGGATATAGTCATGCAGAGAGCCATAATGCATTTTGACACACAGGCGCTGTTACAGGCACAAATCCAACACATGCAAGATTCCCACAGCCACCCAAACGGACACCCAGGCCTGGTATCAGGCACGCACACACACGCCATCTATCATAAACAATCAGGATTTCCAAATAACATTAGCAGGCTACAGAGCACATCAATGGCACACACACACACAGCCCGATATTCATAACTGATGGCGGTGTGATATCGAGGGGGCTGACAGCACAATAACAAATGGGTGGTTGGACATACAAAACCCACAGTAATACAGACCTAGTAGATAAGCAGGCTGAGAGCTGTTAGAAAAGAGACATCCCTCTCTCAAAACAGAAGCAGAGGGATGAAACGGCAAAAGGAAGAGAGAGCTGGGAGAGGGGAGGAGAAATAAAGGGAAGACAAAAGAGAAAATGGAAGAGATTAAAACAGAAGTGAAACAAAGAAAACACCATACGGCTCTTTTAACTACCTGACTTTGTAGTAAACTCAAAGCTAAAGAAACAAGTATTGGAGCATCATCACTTTATTAAAGTTTGTCCACATTTTATTAAAAAATAGAAAATGCTTTTTATATTTAAAAAAAAAAGCTTCATTACTCAAAGTGTAGCTCCGTTTTTTACAGCTAGAACATTAATCGTGCAAAGTTGGCAGCTATCCCAGGGCCTCCAGATTCCCCTGTTCACTGGTAAAGGGTGATAATGTGATTAATTGAAAATGCATTGTTAGCGTGCAACAGCAACTGATAGAGAAAGTCTGTGGTGGGAGAAAAACACAGTTAAAAGAAGAAAAAATATTTAAAACATTCCAATTTTGCCCAATAAACAAAAAAACAGATATTTTTCCAACAAACTGTCACGTTTTTAACGACCTGACATGTTAAGAAACTGTCATTTTTTTCAGTGTGCATCAGTAAAGACATTAGCATTCATTTACAAGTCATGATATGCTGCATACTGATTGACGTGGCAGACACTATAAGGTTAAACAAGAAGGTTCTCTACAAAAATCGAGAGCTGACACTCAGTCAGCAGTTGCATTATATCAAAGCATTCTGGATATTTTCCAGCTGATCTTGTCGCGAGGAGGAGGTCTAGCTCAGCAGGGGTTCACCAATGCAGACGCAAGCATTTGAATCTTAAACAGCTTTGGATACCAAAACAGAATGTATGGCTTTCAAAGGGTGTGTACATGTGTGCATAAAAAGAGCCTTCTTTTACAATAGGATCTGGTGAGCACCAATAAGGGCCTTTGAAGCACACAATCCCTCTTTGAAGTTTCCTACATGCTGATCATTTATTTATTTGGAGTGGAGTCTGGCTCCTTCTTGCAATACTACCAAGGAGAATGTGCTTCCAAAGTTAAACTCCACAACCATCTGAACAAAAGAAAATGTTTCATTTCCTGTTTACAGGAACAAAATCGCTCATTAGAACTCTTGAGAATTTTTTCTAGTATTTTTAAATGAATTGTTCTTCCTAAAACATCGATGTCTGGTATGAGTTTACGGTAATCAGCCGGTCAGGTTTCAAAATGGAAACAGGGCTGGGAAATGGAAAACTGCGCTCAAAAATAGCATCCTTGTCTGTTTTCAAAGTTATCCACTGCTTGAGATAAGTGACAGAAATAGAGTCCCATAGGCCGTGTTGATTGGGCATACTTGCGGACAGACTCTAATGATTCACACCCCTGGAGGGTTAGGGGGGCAATGTAACCATTGCTTCCTGAGTCATAAAGGGAATTATATGGCAGGCATGTCAGCTACGCCCCACAGCTTATCATTACACACCAACTTCTGGCCATACTTAAAATAGCCCAGAATGGTCAGGGAGGGGGCATCTGAAGAATTCCCCTCTTCCACCATGACAGCCCTCTTTTTTTATTTTTGGCTTTGGTTCAGCAGATGTTTGATAACGGCCTGTGTCAGAGGGGATACAAACATAGCCACGTTCGTAGATACACCCTAATTACTCCCAAACTTTATGGTGGAAACATATCAAAATACAACTCCAGGGGTGTGGAGTGTCACTTGTGTGTGGCACTACATGAAGTTTATGTGTGGAAGGAATGAAAACTAATCAAAGAGATGATATTAAAAAAAAGGAAAGAAAAAAAAACTGTTTAATTAATTCCACAAAGAGAAGTGGGTTACATCTCACTACTCTTAAGGCGTAAACATCTTTAATTAAAAGGAAAACAAGCTCGTGTTCCATGTGCAGAGCTGACGCTTCACTCGCGCTGTTGCGAGGCTTTTCCTCAGCAGTGAACGCGCTTTAGCAAAAACTCACCGCTCTAAAAATAGCCCGGTAATAAATATATCCACACGGCCACATTTTTGAGTGTGGATTGGTAGATGAGAGGCAGCAGTCGCTCACTTCAAAGGCCTGCTGGAAAATCCTGTAATAAATCCCTGGCACTTTATTCATCAGGTCTGTTGGACTCCCCTAAAACAAATCTTCCGATGACAAGACCCTCTGCCATCAAACCCCTCTCTGCAGTAAACTGGCAGACATTTGAACTGATGTTATTCTCAAGAACAGCTTGAAAGGAGTGAGGCGCCAGCGCTCTGGTTATCTGCCTAAATTACACAAAGGTGGAACGGCAAAGATTTGAGCTCTGTCCTTTCTTTTCCTCTGGTGTAAAGCAGTGCTGTGTACAGACACACACCAGGAGTTATGGCTGCTGATGTTGCGTACCAGCAGTTTAGCTCGTATCACCATCTGAAACAGCCAATGTGGAAACTTGCCAAGCGCATCTGTAAAAATAACCAGTTATTCCACTGAGGACTGGGTGTTAAACCCTTAATGCTTTGCAGCCGGGAGGTATTTTGGAAGTTTAAGGCGAGTCAAATGATGCCATATTAGTTCTTAGGATTTTTTTCAGTGTTTGATTTATCATGATCTAATTTTCAATCAACATAAAACATAAAATACGGCATGCTAATTTGTGAGATTCAGGTTCACATCAGGTTAGCTTACAACAGAGCTATTATTGCCTTTTCCCAGTATTCATGCTGAGTGTGAATCTTTAAACTTTTTACATATTCCTCAAATATCCACTGTTTTCATTTTGACTTTGGTAAATTTTAAGAATCAGAGACCAAAGACTGACTGGATGTGTCGCTCCTGAGGAGGCCAACAAGAGCAGAAGCCTCATATCACGAGGGAGTTGGCTAGGGGGTTATTAGGGAATTGGGGGAACAGATTGGGAGGTAGAGGATGAGGATAATTGAGTGTGACCATTGGTGCCCGATATTAAGTTAGGAACATTCACCTGATTAGGGACTAGGTGGGTGGTGCTGTTCCCCCAGTCCACCCCACCCCTTACTGCCAATTTACCCCTTCTAGAGGCAGCTCAAATTAATTCTTTGCCTAAACCCATCTGATGCACATCTGAGGATGCAGCTCACAGCGGCACAATTGGGTACTTAAAAACACCTGCTCCTCCTAGAGTGTGTGTGTGTGTGTGTGTGTGCAGTCTTTAATCTCCTTCCGCTGTTGACGTTTCATATAGTCAGAAGACAAATTGGAAATATTAGTAGTATTGCTCACCTTAAAGTGTCATCGCAGAGCCAGCAATTTCAGCCATTTAAGAGATTTTTTTTACCCTTTGCTAAGAAGTCCAATACGTCAAAGCTCTCATGGAGTGTGACTGACAGCTAAGTGATTCATTATAATGACAGACACTTAGCTGCTGTGTTGGATATTTTTGCTCAGCCACAGGAAGCCCTTATAAGCTGCTCAAGAGCTACTCAAGAACATGAAAGTCAGCTTGAAGTGGGACTTGCAGGCCGTTGCAGATACGTTAGTGATGAAGTGATAGTTTATAGTTTCTTTTTGTCTTTGAAAAAATGACACAGGATTCATCAAACACTTGTTATTGAAAAGAACAAGTTAAAAAAACACATTTTTTTTTGTCTCCGTCTCCACAGCAGATGCTTCCTGTCAAAATTCTGACTTTCACTTCCCGTCTGGAAAACCAAACTGTTCCTCTTTTACAGAGACAATTTTAGAGTTACAAGCAAACATGATTAACCTCTCACCTATAAATGAGATAAAGTCTACTGTGTGTTTGTATGTGGCTCGACCTCACACGAACTTGTAACCTTTTCCACCAGACAGAAGGCCAGCACGTACACATTTAAGATTATAACAAGCATTCAAAAGCATTTAGGATTATAGATTCAACTCAACAGTTTAGAGTGGTTATAACTGCACCTGTAATAAAGGCTAATCGGGTACCAATATGTTTAAACATCTGAATGCAACATCAATACTGCAGATTATGTTATTAATGCAATGGTAATGAGGATGATGATTAACAATAACAGTAAAATATATTTCTAATCCCTCACAATTGCTAGGTTGACCATGTAATACATGTCACTGAAAGATGATTGCCATTTCCAGCACATATCTGATATTCTAACTGTAAATAGCAAAGATGCTTTGAACACTTCCAACAGAGATGCAACAGGAAATAGAAAGAAATGCACGGTCACCAGGACTGATCCTCCCTCTGATTTAGTATTCCTGTTGCATTTCTTTGAGGAACATTAAAGTGAGTGCTAATGCCCACAGGAGCATTGTTGAGTGACACCAGGATAAGCAAAGCTTAGCGAGGTGTGGTCTCCAAAACTAAACATTTTCACAGCTAGAAGAAAAGAAATTCAGTTGGTGTTTACCTGTCCTGTATAATGTGGAAAATCTTATGCAAGTACTTCATATTACATACAAAGTAACATCATAGTGAAGAGAAAGTACACCCCTTTATAAAATATGCCAAATAAAACCAGAGACATATACTAAAATGCAGAAGCAGTCTTAAGAAACGAAGCAGACGATTACTGCTTATATAGGATTTAAGAGAGTAAGTAGCAAGTGCGAGCGCCTCAGAAAAAGCAGAGGTTTTACCAGTTTGCTGGTTTGGGCATTCAGGTGTGTGTTAACGCAATGCCAAGCAGGAAAGACATCAGCAATGATCTTAGAGTTTGCTGCTGACAGGGAAAGGTTATAAGGCTGTGTCCAAAAGATTCCATGATTCTACAGTGAGAAAGAAAAGAGTCATGAATATATGGGCGAGCAGAGGCTTTCTATGACAGAGGAGGATGCTAGAGACAGGATCAAAGTGAGGCAGACGAGCCGCTGTGGTGTCCAAAAGTGAGCAGCCAAAAGAAATAGAAGGCTGTACAGTGAGAAAAATTATTCACATGTGAAAAAAATTCAAAACAGCCACCTATCTTCCTAGGAGTGGATGTCCAAGCACATTCATCCAAAGGTCAGCGCATGCAATACTTAAAAAAATCTAAGAGCTATATCTCACACTCTACAGGCTTCGGTTAAATGTTTAAGTTCATAATATTACAATTGGAATGAGACTGAATAAATGTGGCTTGTTTGTAAGAGTTTTTAGGAGAAAGTCTTGTCTTTCTGATAAAAAAAAAAGAGCATGATAGCGCTGTTTAGCCTGGCCAAGTGGCTCTTCATCTGTCCAGAGAAGTTTGGTCATAAAGCAAAGTGCTACATTTGGTAAAACACTGCAAAAACACCTCATATCACCTGTCAAGCATGGTAGTGGTTAGGGATGGGTACCGGTTCTGACATAAACGGTAGTAACCAGACCGAAAAGCAGCGCACATTTCGGTGCTTTTTTTTCCTGAGGTGTCATACACTTTAGATTCTAGCCAATCATTTTACGTTTCCGAGGATAGTAGGCGGG